AGATTCGGCCCTAGGGTACTCTCCACCAATGATGAAGTCTAGTAAACGCGGATTTGGGCGAAAATTTGGTCGAATTTTTCCTGAGGGCGTTTTCGTAATTTTTAGGCGATATTGTCGAAAGATCATTTTCCTTAGATTTTGAAGGCTACATATCACGGATTGAGCCTGGGGCTATTCCTTAGGGATGAATATGTCTATTAAACATCGATTCAGGCAGAATATTTCCGAGGCCATTTTTGGCAGATTCCAAAGGGGTACTATCATCGAGTTCAGACGATTTTTTGGAAAGACCATTTTCGTTTTGTTTTGAAGGCGACAGATCGTAGATTCGGCACTAGGGTACTCTCCACCAACGATGAAGTCTAGTAATCGCTATTTTGAGCGGAAATTTGGCAGAATTTTACGGAGGGAATTTTGGTAATTCTTAGGCGATGTTTTCGAAAGGCCTTTTTTTAGATTTTAAAGGATGCCGATCGCGGATTCATCCTGAGGCTATTCTTTAGTGATGAATAAGTCTATTAAACACCGATTCGGGGGGAATATTTCCGGGGCCCTTTTCGGCAGATTCCAAATGTCATCAAAGATTTCGGTCTATTTTTTGGAAATGCCACTTTTCTTGAATTTTGAAGGCGATGGATCGTAGATTTGGCCCTAGGGTACTCTCCACCAATGATGAAGTCTAGTAATCGCGGATTTGGTCAGAAATTTTGTCGAATTTTTTGGGAGGGCATTTTCATAATTTTTAGGCGATATTTTCGAAAGGCTGTTTTCCTTATATTTTGAAGGTTGCTGATCACGGATTCAGCCTGAGCCTATTATTTAGGGATGAATAAGTCTATTACACCGATTCGGGCATAATATTTCGAGGGCCATTTATGGCAGATTCCAAAGGGGTATCAAAACCGATTTTGGGTGATTTTTTGGAAATGCCATTTTCCTTGGATTTAGAAAGCGACGGATCGCAGATTCGGTCCTAGGGTACTCTCGACCAATGATGAAGTCTAGTAATGGCGGATTTAGGCGAGAATTTGATCGAATTTTTCCAGCGCGCATTTTCGTAATTTTTAGTCAATATTTTAAATAGACCATTTTTCTTAGATTTTGAAGGCTGAAGATCACGGATTCAACCTGTGGCTATTATTTAGTGATGAATAAGTCAATTAAACACAGACTCAGATGGAATATTTCCGGGGACATTTTTGGCAGATTTCAAAGGGGTACCATCACCTATTTCGGGTGATTATTTGGAAATGCCATTTTGGTTGGATTTTGAAAGCGACGGATCGCAGATTTGGCCCTAGGGTACTCTACACCAAGGATGAAGTTTAGTAATCGCGGATTTGGGTGGAAATTTGGTCGAATTTTCTGGAGGGCATTTTCGTAATTTTTAAGCAATATTTTCGAAACACCTTTTTCCTTAAATTTTGAAGGCTGCAGATCACTGATTCAGCTTGAGGCTATTCTTTAGAGATTAATAAATATATTATATACCGATTCGGGGGGGAATATTTCGGGGCCATTTTTGGAAGATTCTAAAGTTGTAACATCACCGATTTTGAGCGATTTTTTAGAAAGGGCATATTCTTGGATTTTGAAGGCGACGGATCGCAGATTCGATCCTAGGGTACTCTCCACCAATGATGAAGTCTATTAATCGAGGATTGGGTTAGAAATTTGTTCGAATTTTTCCGGAGGGCATTTTCGTAATTTTAAGGCGATATTTTCGAAAGGCCGTTTTCCTTAGATTTTGAAGGCTGCATATCATAGATTAAGCCTGAAGCTATTTTTTAGTGATGAATAAGTCTATTAAACCCCGATTCGGTTGAAATATTACCGGAGCCATTTTTGGCAAATTCCAAAGGGGTACCATCACCGATTTCAGGTGATTTTTTGGAAAGGCAATTTTGCTTGGATTTTGAAGGCGGTGGATCGCAGATTCAGCCCTAGGGTACTCTCCACCAATGACTAAGTCTAGTAATCGCGGATTTGCGTGGAAATTTGGTCGAATTTATCCGAAGGGCATTTTCGTAATTTTAGGCGATATTTTCGAAAGGCCGTTTTTCTTAGATTTGAAGGCTGCAGATCGCGGATTCATCCTGTAGCTATTCTTTAGTGATGAATATGTCTATTAAACACCGATTCAGGCGGAATATTTTCGGGGCTCTTTTTGGCAGATTCCAAAGGGGTACGTACCATCACCGATTTCGGGCGATTTTTTGGAAAGACTATTTTTCTTGGTTTTTGAAGCCGACGGATCGCAGATTCGGCCCTAGGGTACTCTCCAACAATGATAAAGTCTAGTAATCTCAAATTTGGGCGGAAATTTTGTCGAATTTTTCCGGAGGCCATTTTCGTAATTTTTAGGCGATGTTCTCGAAATGTCGTTTTCCTTAGATTTTGAAGGCTGCAGATCACTGATTCAGCCTGATGCTGTTCTTTAGGGATGAATAAGTCTATTAAACACCGATTCGGGTGTAATATTTTCGGGGCCATTTTTGGCAGATTCCAAAGGGGTACTTTACCGATTTTGGGCGATTTTTTGAAAAGGTCATTTTCCTTGCATTTTGAAGGCGACGGATTGTAGATTCGGCCCTAAGGTGCTCTCCACCAATGATGAAGTCTAGTAATCGCGAATTTGGGCAAAAATTTGGTCGAATTTTTTCGGATTGCATTTTCGTAATTTTTAGTCGATATTTTCGAAAGGTCATTTTCCTTTGATTTTGAAGGCTGCTGATCACTGATTCGGCCTGAGACTATTATTTAGGGATGAATATGTCTATTAAACACCGATTCGGGCGGAATATTTCAGGGGCCATTTTTGGCAGATTCCAAATGGGTACCATCACCGATTTCGGGCGATTTTTTGGAAAGGCAATTTTCCTTGGATTTTGAAGCTGACGGATCGCAGATTCGGCCCTTGGGTACTCTCCACCAATGATAAATTCTAGTAATCGCGGATTTGGGCGGAAATTTGGTCGAATTTTTTTGGAGGGCATTTTCGTAATTTTTAGTCGATATTTTCGAAAGACCCTTTACCTTAGATTTTGAAAGTTGCGGATCACGGATTCAGCCAAAATCTATTCTTTAGGGATGAATAAGTATATTGAACACCGATTCAGGTGGAATATTTGAGGGGCCATTTTTGGATGATTCCAAAGGGTACTGTTTATTAGGGCTGACAAACGGTAATACGGTAACCGGTTTACCGGTTTACCGAACCGGTAACGGTCGGTAAACGGTAAACCGATTACCGTCGGTATCGGTATCCGGTTGCGCTAGCGAGGTTCCAATTTACCGGACACAGGGTCGGTATTTACCGTCGGTAAATCAGTAAATACCGAATGGGTAACAGGGTGGAACGCTGCGTTTTGGGCAAGTGAGAAACCTACCTGCGCTGCGCCCCTGCCCAAAACGCGCCGCCTCCTTCTTCACCCTCCCTCCGAGCTTCGACCTTCACCCTCCCTCCGAGCTTCGACCTTCGTCCCTTCCCCTTCGCCGCAGAGCCGCCGACGCAGAGCTTCATCCGCCGACTGCCATTCCTCCTCCACGATTCCTCCGCCACCTGCCCTAACTCTCCCTCGCCGACGCAAATCCCTCCGCCGACCGCCATTCCTCCTCCAGCAAATCCTCCGCCACCTGCCCTAACTCTCCCTCGCCGACGCAAATCCCTCCGCCGACCGCCATTCCTCCTCCAGCTAGTTCCCTTCCGGCCTTCCCTCGTCAGTCGCCACCTGCCCTGATTGGCTGACTCTCCCTCGCGCCGACGCAGCTTCAAAGAAGGGGAAGAGGGCGAAGACAGCAAGTCAACAACAGCCAACAAAATCAAGTCCAAAACCAAATGTATGTAATTGAATATTTGAATTTCCTGGATTAGGATATCAGATGTTGTTGTTTAAACTACAATGGGTATTTGCTTGAAGCTTCTTCACCTTTGTTTGATTGTTCTTTGTTCGGATAAGTGGGTAGTTGAATTGTTACTATTGTCCTGCTTTTTGTTCGATCTCGATACTGAATGAATCTCAAGTGGAGCGATGCGCGGAATTCTCTTGCTGATTTCCTCGAGATTGTTCTCTGTTAGCGTATTGCTCAATCTTGATATTTATCTCCTTATTGTGGTGGTGGTTGTCTGATTTGCTTGCTTGAGTCAAGCCTTCCTTTGCGGTAATTCGGTAAACCGGTTTGTAACCGTTTACCGGTAATTCGGTAATCGGTAAACCGGTTACAAACCGGTATCGGTAAACGGTAAACAGTTTGCCCACCGTCGGTATACCGAAACCGGTAAATTCGGTAAACGGTTTACTTATACTGAATTAGCAAGAGTAAAAGTGAGCAAGAGTAACCGGTATCGGTAAACGGTAAACAGTTAGAAAGGAGGGCTACTTATACTGAATTAGCAAGAGTAAAAGTGAGCAGCGATCCCTGGTTAATTGGTGGGGACTTTAGTTTAATGCAGTTTTGAAACCAGGGGAAGTCTTCCAGACGTGTGAGCCTACAAAGTATGGTGGATTTTGGTAGTTGGCTTGCTTCGATGGAGTTGTTTGATCATAGAGCACCAGACAGTTTTCCGCCCCTATCATCGTGTGTTGTATTAGAACACTTCCCTTCCCTTTGATTCAGTGGGAGTATGGATAAGGGCATATCAAGGTCCAATTCCACCGCAATGTCAAGTTGTGCGCTGGATGAGTTGAAACCGTGTGCTGACAGAACACAACACTGAGACTGCGGATCCCTCTCCCTCTCCCTCTCCCTTCCCACATTAACTCCCTAAAATTGGGACACACTCAAATAAATATTCATCCCCCACACTGAAATCACTCACTCTGAGCTCGACTGTGCTTCCTTCCCTTCCCTCCCAACTGTGGACGATTCAAATTGGGTTACTTCACTGCATCCCTCTCCTTTAAATTGGGTCAACTACGATACTACTCATCAGCCTGCACCTGGTTTAGCTGATATTACTCTACACTCTTTGTCTCTCTCTCTGCCTTGGTAGTTTATTAATGGCAACGCCAGAGGAATACAGAGCTCTAGAGCTCATTCGGCAGCACCTACTGGAAGACCATTTCTCCTCCGCCGATCTCTTCATCACTGATTTGAACTCCCCAATCTCTTCCGTCTCCCAGGAGCTGCTGCTTCCTGTGCCCGTAAAACACGAAGAAGCAGAAGAAGAATCGCAATCCCCTGCTTTGTGCTCTGACTCCAATTCCCCTGAATCACACCTTGACACGTCCTCGCCGAAGCCTACGGTTTCGGGTTCCTGTAGTGGGTCGTCGTCGCCAGAGCCGGAAGAGAAGGGGAGGCAGTTCAGAGGCGTGAGGAAGAGGCCGTGGGGCAAATTTGCGGCGGAAATCCGCGACCCGACCCAGAAAGGCAGCCGGGTGTGGCTAGGGACTTTCGACAGCGACGTGGATGCCGCCAAAGCCTACGACTTCGCCGCTTTTGAAATGAGGGGCAGGAAAGCGATCCTCAATTTCCCACTAGAAGCTGGCAAGTCCGACCCGCCAGCTGCATGCACTGCCCGGAGACGGAGGAGGATGAAGAAAACGGCGCCGGATTCGGAGAAAGCATCCGCCGCCCGGGAACTGGAAATGGGTCCCTTCTAAGGATACATATAGAGTGTGGGGCTTGCTGGAGTTTAGTTGATTGTGTAGATCATCAAGTTAATTAATTAATTACTTAATTAGAAAGCTTCATTATGGTGCAGCTAATATTGACATAATATCTCTTGTAGACGAACGAAACTTATCAATTTTGAACAATTCCAATAAACACCATACAGTACAGAGCTTGCTTATCACAATTAAACTATTCAATATTCATACAAAGCCGGTCAAATTAATCTATGTGCAGTTACTTGTACAATCATATTTATAACGACATATTTTAATAAGAGTCCGAGTGAGTCCGAGCCCCTCCATCCATCAACTTCTCAATCAATCAACCCACTTGCTTGCAATGCAAGAATTCAAATCCGAAGGAACTCCCAGCAAATGCCATCGCGCATTTAAACCTCAAGGGGCCACCCTACCCTACAACGACAACTACAACTACAGAAAGCAGCAAGTGGTAAGGCTGGTGGTGGGCGGGTCCAGAGATAAGATAAGTGATGCATCCAATTTCCAGAACACCGTACATGTTCAGTGTACCAATGCTCTTTACCGCAACTTGCGCGCAGCCGACGTCCATGCATGGCTGGGGCTGCCTACTTGCTAGGAACAAATGCAAAGTGGCCCAACGGGAAACAAATAACCCACTCTCTCCTTGTGGATGTGATGTAGAGGTGACAGGTTAGGATCTGTTTCTTCGTGTTACTGGTCAATCGGGTTGCATGTTAATCATACTACAAATTAATTGGATTATAGGTCACTTGCGTCCATTTTATCTATGTTGTGCCCAAACACTAACAAACCTTGTATAAACATGGAGAACACCAACTCTCATAGCACCCGCCATTGTTCAAGGGAGAAGAGGAGTAAACCCCACCACCTTTGGGGCAACCTCGTGGAGATCTCTTAAGGGAACATGAGGAACTAAAGTTTTTATGGAACATCTTACTCATGCCTTTCTAGATGTTGTTCCTCAACGCTTCACAACCAAACTCCTAAGGCTTCAAGACCTTTATCTAGGCAAGAGCAAGTGTCTCAATTGGATTCTCTATGCCCAACTCGAAATTGAGGAGGCAATACGTGTAAGAACTATATGCTAGGTTTTCCAAAATTTTAGATGTTTCAGGCTATAGCAAGTGAAAGGCAAAATGATTGAGAGTTGGATGAAAGTGAGCAAAAACAGGACAAAGTGCAAGAAATTGTATGGGTCATGGTTCATAGCAGATTGTCACGAGCAGGAGACCGTGAAGCTTGCATCAAAACTTTGAAGTATACAACGTTCTGGGAGCATTTGGACGTCTCATGGGCATTGCATGGAACACGGACACATGGCGTGAAGAATACAATTAAATCGTGAAATGTGTAAGGGAAACAATGCATTTTGAACTGAGATCACGGTTTCACTGCACACATCACGGGTGTGACGACGAACTGTGAAATGTGCCCTGTCGAGTGTAAATATGAGAGTGAGAAGATTTCAAAGGGAGGAACATTAGAGAGAGATTTGGATCTTCTTATACATTCTAGAGAGTGAAAGTAACGAACCAAGGAAGACTTAAGGGGAATTTGGCCTACCCAAGACCAAAGGAGGCCAAATTTCATCTTCAACACCATTCCAAGCAAATAAGAAGAAGGAGAATCATCTTTCCATGAGGTTTCTCTTTAGTTGTAGTACATTATCTATACATGGGGTAGATTTTCCTTTCACATGGATGGTTGTTAACTCTATTTTGTGATTGGCATGTTTGATTGTATATTTATTAGTATTTATCATGATAATTGAGATTCCTTGATCAATTTCCTCAATTTTGGGGCTAATTAACCTAAGAAAGAGAAGATCTCCATAGGGTAATTTGGATCACTATTCAATCACCGTAAGGCGCCCAATAAAGAGGGTGATTGGTTTCTTTATGATGTTTTGGTTCATCGACCGAGGAAGTGGATTTGGTTTCCCTAATTGCCTAATCCAGTAGTTTGTTACGCCTCTCCGATTAGAGAAATTAGGCGAGTTAGGACAACTCGAATAGGGACTCCTAACTATCTTTGATCTCCTAGCGATATATATAATTTGAAAATACCACTAGAGTATCATGTCATCAACTCAACACATGACTAGGAGGTAATCATCCGAGTGAAGCTTTCTCCCTTGAATCCAAACTACTTGTTTTTTTGCTTGTTTGTTTAGTTAAAATAGATTAATAAAAATTTTCTATCGCTAGATGATTTGTGATTTGCTGAGTAAGGATACACAAACCACTCGGGTTTGATCATTAGAGAAATACTTGCTCTTCACTACACCGATTGAAGGTTCCACTAGGCCTTTGATAGTGTAGTTATGATCGAGTCAAGCTTTTCTGGAGCCGTTACAGGTAGGGGTGGTTATACGGTCCGGTCCGGTTAAATTGGCCCAAATTGATCCGGTCCAGTCCGGTTTTTTTGAAAATATAAGGACCGAAGATTGGATTGGATACAGTCCGGTCTTGATCCGGTCCGGTCTTGACCCGGTCCGGTCCCAATTTGGTCTTGATTTTATATTGAGATTGTGGGAATTTGAGTGGCCTAAGGCCTAAAAGGGTGAGGAGTTGGTTAAGTTTTGTACTAAGTGCAAAGGTTTGTGACCGTTTATGCAAATTACCCTTAAGTTTTGGGTGTTGAGCTCTCTTATCCGGTCTTTATCCGGTTTTTTACCTCAAATCTAAGCCCAAAGATTGGATTGGATTGTTTACTATCCGGTCCCGGTCCGGTCTCGGTCCGGGTTATACGGTCCGGTTTCTTGTTTTTCATCCGGTCCCGGTCCAAATAGCCACCCCTAGTTACAGGGGACAACGGTTTATTATTGAGAAAAAAATAAACCACTATTAATCTAGTTTTTTTCCTTGCATTATATGTTAGACCTTGCTAGTTGGCTCTTGTTTGTGTTGTTTGGAGTGAGTGGAGGTAGTGTATGACCCCGAGCAATCCAGAACCCTTGGAGCCACTAGAAAACAACATATGGACTCTCCGACTACTTGCACGTGAGAGGGAGCTAAGGGTAGCAAGGGAGCGATTGTTGAATTAGGGTCAACCGAAGTTCAAGAAGAAGTTGAAGTTGAAGAGCAGTTTCTGATTGTAGACATGGCAAACGAGGCCATACAAGATGGATATGAAGCAAGGACGATAGGGGTACTATAATCTCTATTGAGGAGGGAATTAGAAGCCATCAAGTGAATCTTCAAAACTTGGAAACCCAAATCGATAATCTCGCCGAAGTCCTCACCTAGAGACCTCAAGGAGCCCTACCTTCCTAAACCGTAGAAAACCCCAAAGATCCAAGGGCGGGGTTGCATGCCATTTTTCTTTGAAGTGGCAAGGTGACTCAAGAGGTTGAACCAAAGAAAGTACCTCAAGAAGAAGAAACCCTACAACGGTTATCGAACAATAGTCTAAGGAGACAAAGGAAGACGTGCATATGAAGGCCTCACAAACGCCACCTCCGGTGGCTGAGTACAAGCCTCCCCTTCATTTTCTGTGAGAACCTCGCTTCTAGGGATTCTCGATACTGATCTTCGGCACTCGTGATAATTAGGGATTTAGGGTTTGAGAGAAAGAATTAGGGATTTAGATGAGAAAGAATAGAATTGGGAATCGGCCGAGGCCTTGGATTAGGAGAGAATAGAAATTAGGAGTTGAGAGGAGAGATTAGGGTTTGGGAGACTTTGCTTAATATTTTTCTTGATTGATTATGACGTAAACCCAAAGTACATATATATAGGAAATACTGGAAAACCCTAACGAATAACCTAATTGGACTAAATCTCTACTAATCATAAGAATAATTATCCTACCTAATATAATAATAGAAACTCCCAATAAATGTGTTTCTCACAATCCATCCCCCTTGGAAACAACCTTCACCTCAAGGTTGTAGTTGACTTCTACCTCCTTGACCTTCCGTTTTCTTCGTTTCCAATTGCGCTCCAGTTCGCGAAGGAACTCTTCTCGTGCAACTCCAACTTTCTGTGTCTCTTGTCCACCCGCGTGACACATATCACGTTTGCCATAGCTTAACAGTTCTTCGTCATCTCTTTCGAAGTCCACGAAATAGGAATCAGATAACTCTTCTCCTCCTCCACTCCTGGATCGGCCTACCATGACTTGAAAGGATGAGGTGTTCTTCTTCTTAACTTCTTTTGGGTTTGACTCCCTTGCAAGCCCGTGTGTCAACACAAGAACTCCCTCCAAGTCTTCTTTCCTTTTATAACATCCCATGTTCGATTTAAGTTCTGCATGATCTGGCCCAATTATGTATAAAAGAGCCCTTGTAAGGCTGTCCTTGAGCGTCCCAAAGACTGGGTAGAGAGAAGCCCAACTGCACTCCACCTTAGGCCCGTCCTGCTGATTGGTTTTCGGCCCAAGATGCTGGTCAGGTTGGTCTAAGTCGAACCCAACAAAATTCTCCTTCTCATTCTCCAGCTCACGTCCCCGGCCAATGGGCCCACCTCTCTTCCTCGGCCCAACAAAGCACCTAGCATTTCGGGTCGACGAGAACCCAGCATGCCCCAAGCTTCGGCGGTTTAGGGTTGCAGGGGAAGGAAACCCGCCGCCCTCCACCTTCTCCTCCTTTGTAGGCGGCTTCTCCTCCTCGTCGGCCACCACAGGGGTCGCCGCCACCCTCACGTCCGGAGCCTCCATCGCCTCCAATTTCTCCGGCTTTGTCTTCTTCCGCTCGTTCTCCGGTGGTGCGCCATTCCGCTGACGGCACGACGGCCCTTCCGGCCCCGCCGCCATCTTTTCCTTCGGCGGCAGCTGCTTCGCCTCGTTCTCCGGCGGTTTCTTCTTCTTCTCCGACTGTGGCTCGAGTTCGAGCGCCCTCTTGCCCGCCTTGTCCTCCGGCGTCGAGTGACTGACCTGGCATGAGGAAGGCGATCTCGAAGCTTCGACTTCCATCTTCTTCTTCCCCGTCGTTTTCGACTCTAACGATTCCTTCTTCTTGACCAGTGGCGACTCCCTCGCCTTCT